ACTAAGAAGATGGATTTGCTAGATAATATTATTTTGTGTTTGATTTATAATATATTTGAATCCAATCATTTTTCCAGATAACTATTTCTCATATTGATTCATAAACATATTGATAAAATAAATTTTAAAAAGATAATATCTTCAATATATCTTGATGGCATAAAATATAGTTCATTCGAATTAGAACTTCACTATTAAAAATGACATTGAAATTTAAAAGCTTAACCATATTATAATTTCAATATATCTTGATTGCACAACCTAAAACAAAATAATGAAGACATATTTACCAAAACTGATCAGAAAGCTTTTCATTTCAACCAAGTTGATAACAAGATATCCACTACATCAACACAAGAATTAGAACAAAAGTTTACTGATATCAAAATAACACAACACAAATTAATCAAAATGCAAATTTGTTTTGTCTAATTTTTCTTAGGATCACATCAAATCCCTGCAATCGCAAACCACAGAATTTATACAATAGTCAAATTCATGAGTAGAGAAGCAAATGAGAATATAGATTTGTTTGCGCAAAACCTATAAAAACACGAACTAAATTTTATTAAACATAAGTTTAACTTGGAGGAAGATGTAGTGTTGTTGTTTAACTCCATTCTCGCAAAATAAGGAAGAGGATCATATTTAGAACTAAATGATACTTAAAACGAACACTCATGCTCACAAATGTCCATCTCCGTATCCAAAACCAACACAATTAAGCAAGAAGAACCATATTGTGAGTTCAACAGGTTAAAATGTGACAACCAATATCTCCATTGCAACAGACACTATATCAGTCTTGATATAGCTGAGATGTATATCAGCAACAAACTAGTAACAAAGCAGAGTTCCCAGTGATATACATGGTTCAGTCTTCAGCTCCATTTATAAAACAATTTAGGTCACAAACTATTTTAAATGGTCAATTTAGCACCTGTCGTCAAGTTTTTAGACTTCCATCCAATTTTTTGTTAATTATAAGGGTAAGTTTGTCATTTTACAAAGACAATACCAAAAAATAATAAAGAAAATGTAAAATCATGATTTCTTCTTTCTTTGTTCTTTTCCCTTTTCTGTCTTCTTCCTCTCTTTCTCTTTTCTTTCTTCTCTCCCCATCTACTCTAGCTCTTTCAAATTTCTTAGCTCCCGTTGTCCTCTCTTTACAAATATCCAGGGGCTCCACTGCTGTATCGAAATTTGTTTGTTCATGCAACAAAAGCATTTGGAGGGAGATTAGCAGCGAAAGATTAATAACAGCCAAGAGAAGGGAATTGAAGGAACGTGTGTAAAACACAATACAAGAAGGAAGAAGAGGAGCTTGTGTAAAACACAATACAAGAGGAAAGGAAGAAGATTAATAACAGCCAAGAGGACGGGCAATCTTCACAGCCAAGAGGATGGGTCAATGGGATTTATTGCTTCGAGAGGAATTAGATAAGGGGATCCTCTATTCTCTTATATTTTCATTTTGTGCATGGAGCCTTTTATTAGGCAATTCAACCTGCTTGCTACTTCTACTAAATCGAATGTGGGTTTACCTTCTTCACCTGGGGGTTTTCGCATTTCAACTCTTGTCTTTTCTGATGATTGTCTAATTTTTGAAAGACCACTTCTGTGGCAGCTAGAAATATCACAAAACTACTTGATTTCTTTTCTAAAGTGTTTGGTCAACAAGTCAACTTGCATAAAGCTAGTGTGTTTATTTCAAATAATGTGACTACAAGTGTCAGAACTCATCTAAGCAATCTCTTACAAATTCAACCCAAAACTACTATAGGACCCCATGGCCTCTTGCTGATGGATGGGATGATAGCACATGTAATGAAGTATTCTCGATGGACATGCTGGAAGAATGCCACTTGGGGGCTTCAACTGTGCAGCAGAAAACAGCTGCTGTGACCTTTCACAACCTTACGGAGGCTGAAACAAGCGTGATAGAGTGTTATCTAGGCCTGAAGCAGGGACCCACGGCCTCACAAGTCCTCCAAAGGAATCCAAAATTCAAATCACTCTTTGACCAACTTGGTTTCGGGCCTCAAGCGAGAGAAGCAGCTGCTGTAGCTCTCATGAACATCTCTGCGGAGTCTGATCCTCATTGCTTCACCACTCAACCACAAAGGTCGTTCTTGGGAAATGACAATGTTATTGTCTTCACGGATGAAGACATGGAAGTTCCGTACCCAGATCATAGAAGGCCACTTTACTTAGAGGGACATATCAACGATGTGTTTATAAGGAGAGCTTTGGTAGATATGGGTTCCTCTGTCAACATATTGCCTCTGTCTGTGCTCACGACAGCTGGTATTCCATTATCCAAAATTGTGCAATCCCAAACAAGCATCAGCGGTTTCGAAAATAAGAGTGAGGTCACAGTCGGGCACATGCAAGTGAACTTGAAGGTGGGGCCAATCAGGTCACTTACCAAGTTCTATGTGGTGGATGTAGATGTGGCTTACCATGCTTTACTTGGAAGGCCATGGCTCAACAAGCATAAACTCGTAGTCTCCACTTACCATCAATGCATGAAGGGAAGGATTGGGCTGAGACCGCTTCGCATACCTGGGAATCAAGAACCGTTCAACAAAAATGAAGCTCACTACTCCGAGGCAGAATTTTACACACAGTGCACAGGTGTAGGAAGCGGCCCATCTAAGGATTTCGGAACCTACCTACCATCATGGACTAAAATTCGCGATTTAAGCAACGACGAACTCATCACCATCGTCGATCGAGAAAGAAAGAGGCACTCAGAAGTCAACAACCATGCCTACGATCGTCCTCAATGCTCGAAAGTGACGCTGCCAGATGGGCGTATTGTGTACCGCTTATGACGGGATTGGGGGCTTAACCGTGTCCTACGAAAATCCCCGAGTATGGGGGAGAAGCAATGCAAGCAAACAACCGTAAGGATCCATATGGCAAAACACCCATGCCTTGCGCTTTCCAGGAGCCTATGATAGCACCAAGGCACATGCAAGATGGTTCGATGGCAGTTGCTAAGCAGCTGGAAACAATCAATTTGAGTAATATAGCTGAGCAGCTGGAAACAATTAATTTAAGTGATGATCCCTCTGTCCAAAGGCCTATTTCTGTCAGTGTTCACTTGGCAAGGAAAGAAAGGGAGGCCTTAGTGTTGCTATTAAAAGAATTCCGAGATGTATTCGCTTGGAGCTACGAGGAGATGCTCGGCCTAGATCCAAACTTGGTCAGCCACACTTTGAATATCGAGCTTGGCACGAAACCTGTCGTGCAGCCAAGAAGGAATTTTCATCCTGAGATTGAAATGCAAATCAAGGTAGAAATTGAAAAGCTACTGGCCACTGGGTTCATCAAACTAATCAAGCATCCAACATGGCTAGCAAACATTGTTCCCGTAAAGAAGAAGACTGGTGTGATTAGGATATGCACGAACTACCGAGATCTCAACTGAGCTTACCCAAAGGATGAATTCCCACTGCCAAATATGGATATCTTGATTGACTCAACCTCAGGGCAAGGCTATAACCAAATAAAGATGTCCCCACGAGATGTTGAGAAGACAGCATTTCGAACACCATATGGGAATTTTTACTACACGGTCATGCCATTTGGTCTTAAAAATGCCGGAGCCACTTACCAAAGGGTTATGACAACTGTGTTCCACGACATGATGGGGAAAGAGGTGGAAGATTATGTGGATGATCTTGTGGTGAAGTCAAAAACCAGAGAGGGCCATCAGGAAGTCTTGAGGAAGGTGCTGGAAAGGTGTCAACTCTATGGGTTGAAGATGAATCTGAAGAAGTGCGCATTTGGGGTTTCATCCGGGAAATTCTTAGGGTTCCAGGTGCACTAGCGCGGCATAGATGTGGATCCGGAAAAGACTAGAGCTATAAACTCTCTCGCACCACCTAAGAGCCCAAAGGAATTGAAGAGTTTCATGGGGAGGCTATCATACATTCGACGCTTCATCCCGGGCCTCGCTGCCACAATGAGTACTTTTACCCTTTTGCTCAAGAAGGGCAAGCCGTATGTATGGAGCAGGGAGTGCCAAGAAGCCTATTCACACGTGCAACAAATAATCACCAAGCTGCCCACAATGCGAGCACACATTTCGGGGCTTCCACTCAAATTGTATTTGGCTTCCACGAAGGCAGCGGTTGGGGCCTTGCTTGCCCAAGATGGTCACGATGGGGAGGAGAGTCCTATTTATTACGTGAGTAGACAATTAAGAGGGGCTGAAACAAGATACCCGAAGACGGAGCTCTTGCGCCTTGCTCTTGTCTATGTTGCACAGCACCTGCGACATTACTTCCTCGCTCACAAGCTACAGCTCATAGTAAAATATGACCCCATAAGATACTTGCTCACAAGGATGGTGCTCTCTGGACGTCTTGCACGCTGATTGCTACAACTATCCGAATTTGATATTACGTGTACAACTCCTAAGGCCATCAAAGGACAGGCTATAATTGACATGCTGGCTCTATTTCCTGAAATAGAAGAATCGACTCTCTCTGAGGAGGTTCTCGGGGAGTTGCCGGAAGTAGTTGCTGTTGTTACAGAGGAGGAACCATGGACCCTCTACTTCGACGATTCTTCTACATCGAGTGGTGGAGGAGCAAATGTGGTGCTCATTAATCTCGAGGGACAAGCTACGACCCTCTCATTCAAACTAGATTTTCCATGCACAAATAATGCGGCAGAGTATGAGGCCTTCATTATGGGAATGTCCATAGCAAGAGAGATGGGTGTAGAGAAAATCAAAATTATCGGGGACTCAAACCTGGTGCTAAGTCAATTACAGGGGAATTTTGCTGTGAAGGAGGAGACATTGGCACCATATCGTACAATTGCTGAAAAAATCATTAATTCTTTCAAGCAAGTCGTGATGGAACACATTCCCAGAGTCACCAATAGATATGCTGACGCTCTGGCCACATTGGGGTCGAAGCTCTTGTTTGCCCAAGAGCAGCCCAATATTACTGTGATAAAGAAGGATATGCCCATAGTCGAAGCGATGTTCCAAGGGGAGCTGCTGGAAGTAGAAGATGATTGGAGGAAAGCTGTGAAGGAGAAGGTTGATCTGGTAGTTTGTAACTTATTATGCATAATGTTTATAATTGGTATTGTCTGTGTTCCAAATCTGTAATGTGATTTTGTCCTTTGTGTTGTTTTAGGCGCCATTTTCTACAGTGCCCACAAGGCTTGCTTTTTGGCAAGCATTTCGAAAAGCTTATTCAATGTGATCCTCGGCTCAACTTCTTAAGCCAACAGCCAGAAATTGTGTTAGAATCTCCATTTTTCGATGCTAGAGTTACAGTATTAGGTGACCCTGATGAATATGGACGTCGGTTTGGTCCAAAAAATGAGGAGGGGCCTGCTATATTTGGTTTGCAGGATTCAGCATCACCTTCTGGAACTCACTCGCCACCGTGTAAAGATGAACAAGATTTTAATGGTAGAGGTCCTGAAAATTATTCCCAGGAAATTTCTTCTCCTAGCTCAGGTAAATCCACAAACGATAAAACTGTGTAGATATGGTCCCATGTCCCAATCTCCCATGACTTGTGATTTTCATCTTATTTTTTTGGGCTCAAGATTTCATTCCCATGTAATTTGGTTCTGTGTTCTTGTTTTGTCAAAATATTGAGTCAGAAGCAGTCAATAGTCATTGTGTAAATAACTTGAACAGTTGTAGAATCACTTACTGATTCCTTAACACTAGAAATTATTTTGTGGGTCAACTTTGAAACAATTAGTCTGAAACTTAAAATTATTTGTGAATGAAGTCCATTTATCCGTGTCCCTTTGGTTTGATAAGCCTCATCTACAGCAGGCCTCTAGTGCTAAGGTTAAGATGGATCAGAACTTAAAACTAGCACTTGAGATCTTAAAATGAAAAACATTATTTAACGTACTCAAATCTGAATCATACTGAACATAATACTTGCAAACATACTTCTATCATGCCGACTACGTCCAGTCAGCATTTGGTGGGGTGTGAATAGAACTCCCTTTTACACTTATTTTTTAGAGGAATCATGTGAGTAACCGTCATATCAAAAAGAGCTGTCTTTCATGACGTGATTGTTTTTTTTATTCTTTTTTCTTTTTTTGACAAAGTTTGATGTATGTGATATAAAGTCTGGCATAAATGTGAGACCATAGCTAGTGGGACAATTTGCTACGACCTCTTAATCTGTCGGAATTGGTGTCAGATGACTGTCGTCAATGTTTGCTCAACTTAAGCATGTGACCTTCTTGTATCTGGTTTATCAGTTCCACTATGTCACATAAACCTGTTTATCCTTATTCTATGAATATTTACTCCATATTTTATGATGCGGAAGTTTTACAATTGAGTTTGGTATGAACACTGCATCACATTTGTTGTGGGTCTAAATTGTCTTCTATTTGTAGTGATGGACACCCCTGCAATTGATAAAATTGGGAGCTTTGGAGCTAAAACCTCAAAGACGCCCAGCAATTTTAATCAAATGAAAGTTCCTGGACTTCCCATGTCGATGTCAATGAGTGATTTCGTAAGCCACATTGGACAATGCATTTTTGGAAAGATATCTGGCAAGGAGCAACCTAGCAGAGATGTTTTGGAGGAGATTACTCAATACTTGTTCAATGACGCGCAACTCACCTTACCCTCAGATGAGCAATACGTCATGTCAAGGGTCAACTCCCTTTATTGCCTTTTGTAGAAGGATGCTTCTACAACACTAAACTTGCAAGCCAAAACTGATGACTGCTTTGATGTAAATGATGATGGGAATTTTAAGTTTTCAAGTTTGATTAGTTTTCAAGTTTCAATTACGGTTCTTGTTCTTATTCATTATGCTTATAAGTTAATATGCATGTTTGAATGATTGATCACCATTAAAACTTGTATGTTAGTTATCTTGGTTGAAATTAAGAGTAGACATCATATACTTTAATTCAAATTGAACTATGAGTAGGAAGAGTATGTATGGACATTCGACAATAGGGATTAGATACATGTTTGGTTGTTTAAAACATTCTTCTATGCTTAATGGATTTCTAATGCTTAATTTAGGTTTGACAACAAGGATCTAATTAGGGAATTAAGAATACAAGGTTAGGACCAGACACCATGGCTTTAGGGTTTAGGGAATACAAGGTTAGGACCATGCACTATGGCTTAATCATACTTTAGTTAGAATTGATATGAGAATCTGAATTGAACTTGTTAACTTATTTACTTGAGTTAGTTTCTTTTTTTTTATTTTTGTCTTTTTTATGTTATTTTCTTTCTTGTTTTCTGTTTTGTGTAGAGAATCAAATTGAATCAATCTATCATCAATTCTCATGGGATCGACCACGCACTTACATATGCTATACTATCGAACGGCTCGTGTACTTGCGAGTATCACAAGTTGAGGATGCAGTTAATCAAGTTTGGCTTAGCTGAATCCGACAACAACACTAGCTCAAACCAATGGTGGCATTGCACAAAATGTTTTTTTAAAGAAAAATCTAAACTATCAATTTTCATGCTCTTGTCTTTGTTAAATGCATAAGATAAACTAATTCAAAAGGAATAAGATGATTTATATCCAAGCGTGTGTGTGTGTATATATAACTGAGATTGTCACACCACGAGTTTCAAACATAAGAATAACCTGTTGAAGTGGATCGACATTCTATTAAGAAGAAGCTTGATGCGGAAATATTAATAATGACAGTCTCTCTTTTGGCAAGTTGGTCATTGATGATATCTATGCACCAACTTGAGGGGGAGTGTTAGCAATAGTCAATTAATGAGGATTAGTTTGGCACCTACAATGGTTGGTAGCCTACAATGTTTAGTCAATTAATGTGTTAATTATGTAGTCAATTAATGTTTGGCACCTACAATATTTGGGGGGCTTGACTAGGTTGGTTGCCTAACTAGTTTGGTTGCCTAATTAGTTTGGTTGCCTAACTTGGGGGGCTTGACTAATGTCTTAGGAACTTGTATATATATGTGTTGATTGTAAGGAATGAAACATAAGTGAAAAATCAGAAAATATTCTACAACTCTCATTCTCTCTACACTTTCCACTCTCTACTCTCAATATTCTCTATGTTTTAGCATGGTATCAGAGCCTAATGGCTAATCCTTAAGATCCTCTATCAAATTGAGAGTCGTTGGCATTTTTTACCATTTTTATTGCCAAAATACCCTTTTACGAAAAGAAAATAAAATATAACTCCCTAGTACAAAATCTTCTAATAATATATAATATATTATATAAACGTACACTCGCAATTCTTGGATTGGATGAACAACTCGAATCTTTCCCTTGATGATAAAAGCTAAAAGAAATTGGAACACAAGATATACACACACAAAAATGTGGGGAGAGAAATGAAGAAAGGTTGCTTGAAAACTTGCTGTTCCAATATTGCTCCCCCTTCCATCCAAATAGCCTAAGGCTTTTATAATTGGTTGCCTCTCAAGGCATTGTACCATTCTAATAAAACACATTAAAATATCTGCCCAATTTTCACAAGTTAATTGTTATAATTGAAAAAAATCAATATAGCAATTGAATACAAGAATTGGTCAAACAAAACTGACGAAAATGATTTTTTGATTCAAATCCTTGAATGCCAACGACATTGAAAACAATTAAATATGTATGGAATTGCTACAACAAAGCTTTAAGAATAAAGCTGTAGAAAAACCTTTAAAACAAGTCAATAATTATTCTAATTGAAGACTAAATTGCTCCAACTGAAACTCATGCAAATAAGCTTTTGAAATCAAAACTGATTATTATATGGGAATCAAGAACAAGAAAATTCAAAGTTAGAAATATTTAAAAAAAGCGATCTCTTCTGGTTTGAAAAACCTATTGCAACTATTCTTT